GTCATACATTTAGGGGTATCTTAGTTATTTGATTTCTCTTAAATATCTGGGCTGTTTCCAAGATGCACCATGATCCTAAATTGACCATTGGTGTCAATGGTTCCTTGGATTACTTGCAATTATATATAAAATTCTTGAATATCTTTAAGACTCGATACCACAAAGCTTGTAATCCTTGGCAACTGGTTCTTTATCAAATTTTTTTATTGTAGTAGCCTTATACTTTTATAAAAGCACCACTGATTCCCTCAGCACGCAAATACAGTCTCCATATTAACTTTCATCTATAGTTATTGCTGATTCACTCCTTTCTCTCTCATCCTCCTCTCCTTTGTTCTGACCATCTGAACTCTGTCTTTAGACCATAAACTTCTTTAGTGAGCATGATGCAGGTCAGGGCCCCCATGCCAGCACTGTGATTGAGTTTCATGCTTAGCCTGACGGGGGTCCTGAGTGCCCAGTGTTGTCTTTGAGAGGGTAACGAGTGGAAGAGGCGGCTGGCAAATCCTCCAGCAGGAGGCCAGGGCTCGCCTTCAGCGCGGCTCTTTCACTCGGTGTCTTCCGCAACCTGTGAAATGAAATTCCACCACAGCTTTACTCAAAGCTGATGCGCCAACTGCCATTACTTCCCCGGCTTTGACTTTTATTTCCCCGAGCCGTGAGTTGCCAACCACAGCGGCTTTGTAGTCAAATTGATTCCATTCGTTTGATGTATCATTGTTGTCAGTGCTAAGCAGATCACCACTGTGCATGAATATATCCACCCTAGAGTCTCCACAATGAAAGCCATTTCCATTTTCTGCCCTTTTTTCCTTTTCTCTCACGCCATTTTTACACGGTTGTGTAAAATGAGGGAGGCGCACCGTCTCTTTGAAGAGCCTCTGTTTCGGAAAATTCAGTCGAAGAACCTTTTTGAAAGATTGAAATTTCACCTACTCCACTTTAAATATTAATTCTCCACCTCGTGCAGTCGAGCCCTTTGTCGTCAGACCTATACATTTTGGCAGGATTTCACTCCCTCCAACGATTATATGTGAATCTATCTAATCGAATTGCTTTCCTCTGGCTTTCTCTGCATTTTTATACGTTTTGACATAACAATCTGTTCATCCTAGCAATGAGCACTTGAGCACCTGTCGAGACTCTCAAAGACTTCACAGAGAAACTCTCGCAGAGACGTTCCACTTTACATTCCTGTTTTCACAAAGTACTCTTTATGTGGTTTGAAAATGTGTATTCAGACTTCACTTTTTCGCTCTCTGTGTCTGAGATGATTTTCATATTTGCTGCCCTTATAATCTCTGCTGCATAGCATAAGATTGTCGAAGTGGGCTGTGAAGAGCAGAAAACTCATTTAATATAAACAGGTAGAATGCACACAGAATTCCACTGAAAGTTTTCGCTGGAACGCCTGTCATTCATTAAAATCCCCTCCCCTTATGTTTGTTTCTTGAACATTTTGGCTACATCTGCTCCCAGAATGCTTTGTTTATCACGTTTAACCATTTTTAAATACATTTCGCAGATAATACCACAAAATCAGAGGCAAAAATGCAGAGAGATTCCCAAATTCCATCTGCAAGCAAAAGGATTTTAATCAATCAGCATTAGCTTTTGATTTGGAGTCAGAAACGTTCCACCTTGGTGAAGAAATACTGCACTTCGCCCTCTACTGGACACATCTTAACCCTACATTTGAGTCATAATGGCAGTGTTAATTCTGTGCTGGTTTGGGTTTCTTAGCTGTGAATGAGAATTCCGACAATGACCCATTAAAGTGTTTGAGCTAACAGGGCTCTTCAGAGCATTCAGTGAGGTTGTGAAAAGCCAGTGTTTACAAGGCGGATGCATTTATTTTTAAGTGCAACAAAGCTGTCAGCTGTGTTTCTCCCAGAATACCTCTCTAACGCAAGAGCCTTTTAGCTGACCATCTCCTTTCACCAGCACCACATTAGCACAACAAATGGTTTTGGCCCTTTTTTGGGTGATCTTAAAAAGTGCTTAACGAAATGTCTGTTGGTAAGAGAATTCATGGCATTACAAGACCTTTTGTTCTTGCAGTAGTTGCTGAAATGGCATTTCTTAGGGTGAGTCATACCTATGGATCCATATATCATAGGATATATCTAGTTGTTAAAGGAATAGTTCACCCAAAAATGAAAATGGGAATCATTTGTGCTTCCTCACTTCATGGTACATGTGGTTTAGCAGGATGTTCACGCTGCTCTTTTCCATATGATGCAAGTGAATGGTGACCAACTTTTTAAAGCTCAAAAAATGAAAAAAAAACAACAACAACTTAAAAGTAGTTTATATGACTTCTTTTGTGGTCTACAGAAAGAAGAAAGTCATACAGGTTTGGAGCAAATTGATTCCTTTAAGGGTTTTTTACCAAGCTTTTTCTTGCCTTGAGTTCACTTTTCTGCTCCTTACAGATAATGTCTCTTTAAGGAATCTACAAATCAAATTAACGTACAGCATGTGCAATCTGGCAGAGACTGGCAGTGTGTGGTCGCTTTTATGTAAAGTCACAGATTAGAACGTGTGAAAACTGATATGATCATCCCAGATTTGCTTATTAAAGATATCCTGCCGTCTCTGTTTCCATGACATTGAAATCAGAGAATCCAGGGCTTTTTGGAATGAAAGTTATTAGAACTACTGGTGATTAGAGGACACAGACAGGGGGACGATGTTTTGTTTTTTTTCTTGAAGATTTATTTGAGGGAGAATATATTTCTGGAATTATTTTGTTAACAGAACAAGGAGGACATACAGTGTTTCTCTGCTCCTGAGATATTCTCAGATTCTGCAGCTAGAGCTGTAAAGACCAATCCAAACTAGCCCAGAACCAGCCCTGAGTATTTATATGAGTAATAAAACCGGCCCAATATCAAAACCCCAAATTGTATTTTTAGAAATTCCAGGTCATTTCTACGCCTACTATGTAATACAAGCAGCATTAACCATTGCAAAGTAAAAAAAATATATATCATCATTGAAATTTATGTTGTATTATATACAAAGTAATAAAAAGCAATAGATTTCGACTAATGTTTAAAAGTTTGCTTGGAGAATATAAATTCATATACTACCTGTTTGGGGTCTGTATATATATTTTTTTATTTTATTTATTAAATTTTTTTGAAAGAAGTCTCTTGTGCTTTCCAAGGCTGTATTTATTTGATCAAAATACAGTAGAACAGTAATATTGTGAACTGTTATTATAATATATCATAAAAATATGTTTTCTATTTTGATGTATTTTAAAATGTAATTTATTCCTCTGATGACAAAGCTAAATTTTTAGCTGCCATTACTCTAGCCTTCAGTGTCACATGAAATTATTCTAAAATGCTGATTTAGTGCTCAAGAAAAATTTTTAATTTGTTGAAAACGGTTATGCTGCTCAATATTTGCATGGACACCGTAATACATTTTTTCAGGATTCTATAATAAATAGACATTTAAAATAACAGCATTTCTTTGAAATAGTTTTTGCAACATTATAAATGTTTTAATATCACTTTTGATTAATTTAACGCTACCTTGCTGAATAGAAGTCTTCCAGTCATAAACCTTTGAAGTATAATAACATTGTAGTATAGTAACATTCTTCTATTACTTCATATGTAGACCTATTATACACAGTTACATGACGTACAGTAAATTTACTGTATTTTAATCATAACAGTTGGCCTGACAACCATAAAAAAATAGTATCCATCTTACCTGTTTTGATTTACAGAGGATTGGCTGTTCATTTGGTCAGAAATCCTTGCATTCAAATCTAATTTGTGTGACATTTCTAACCTTCAAACTGCTGACAAAAAACTCATGGAAACATTTCCACATGGGGAAAACTACAACCTTGTTAACCCTGATCAAAGTGTAGAAACTTGTGTGTGATGTCAACCAAAGAACAAATTATTTGGGGGGGGTCTGAGGAAAAGAATATAGTTTTGTTTTGTGTTCCAGGTGTGAATTCAATTGCTGTTCCATATTCCAGATTTGTACTTTGATATTAGGAATTTTTCATATGCCGTTTTGTTTTAACTAAGTACTGTGAGGCCGGAGCAGCCAGGCTGATCAAACCCAGGCCTGGGCAAATCAAATGGCTTTGGTTTTATTCATTGTTTTTCAGCTTTGTTTCCATCACAATCAGCGGAGACAATGTTATGCTCTGCTTTGGAAATCTTTTCTGAAAGTGCTATGGCGCTGGACCAAGTGCATTCAAATCTAATTTGTGTGACATTTCTAACCTTCAAACTGCAGGACAAAAAACTCATGGAAACATTTCCACATGGGGAAAACTACAACCTTGTTAACCCTGATCAAAGTGTAGAAACTTGTGTGTGATGTCAACCAAAGAACAAATTATTTGGGGGGGGTCTGAGGAAAAGAATATAGTTTTGTTTTGTGTTCCAGGTGTGAATTCAATTGCTGTTCCATATTCCAGATTTGTACTTTGATATTAGGAATTTTTCATATGCCGTTTTGTTTTAACTAAGTACTGTGAGGCCGGAGCAGCCAGGCTGATCAAACCCAGGCCTGGGCAAATCAAATGGCTTTGGTTTTATTCATTGTTTTTCAGCTTTGTTTCCATCACAATCAGCGGAGACAATGTTATGCTCTGCTTTGGAAATCTTTTCTGAAAGTGCTATGGCGCTGGACCAAAAGTAAATTGCTTTTTTGCTGTCTTTTTTTTCTGGTTGCTGCTGGGATGTGTTTTTGTTGAACTGAAATAATGAGAGTAAACTGCCACACACTCACACCCACATACATCGCAGCCTACATCCTACACACACCAGGTGTACAAAAACAAAAGGGTCGATAAATGGCCGCTTGACTGCCCCTTCATCTGTTGGCAGCACACACTGGCCAGTAGCCACATAACAACAAATAAACACAAGACACCCATGAGTTTTACATGCATATGCTTTTAGTTTACATTCAAAAATGTTGATATTACTTTTTACTTTCTCTTCTTCCTATGTTAGGGTGGAGTCCGGTTTCCAGAAAGTTCTTCAGGTGGATCTGGAGGTCAACGGGTTGTTGGATCCTCTGGGAAGTCGCTCAGTGACATGGCAGATCGAGTACCCCATCTCCCGAACCCTTTCGGATGAGATCCAGACACTCATCCGTCTGGCACCACATGACCTCGGGGGAATCGTGCCATTGGCTATGGTGAGTTTAGTTCCTCGTCAACTCGTTCTCAACAAGTCCAAACATGCAGTGCTGTTCTTTTGTCGTATTTTTATTGTTACTGTTTGCATATAATATAAAGTATGGCTGCTTGCTTTTCAGGAATAATATAAGATGTATCACACAGGAAATGTTGATGTGTCATTTGAAGCAACAGTATGACTAACACTAATTAGCTGTAATTTGGTTAATTGAGCGTGCAGTTTGCTTTAAAACCGGCAACTGGGTCAAGACCAAAAGTAATTAATTTAAAATGAGAGGAGACTGTGAGGAGCCTCAAACAAATAAGGTAAACAGAAGATAATAAAGGGTGTTTTAATCAATATGGTGGCTGGGCAGTCACAGTTGGTGCTATTCCTGAATAGGGTAGCACAATGCTATTTAACAGTGGCAAAGTATGCTCCAAAATATACAGTGGGGCAAAAAAGTATTTAGTCAGCCACCAATTGTGCAAGTTCTCCCACTTAAAAAGATGAGAGAGGCCTGCAATTTTCATCATAGGTATACCTCAACTATGAGAGACAAAATGTATTTGGTTATTTTGACATTAGCAGCACCGGCTGATAACTGTGGCTGCTTGTCTGATCAGGTTAGCTGTTGGATCAGTCCTATGATCCAGTTCTTCTCAATCCTGGTCTCAATTTGTATCACCAGATCATTAGTAGAGGATGCTCATGCAAAGTTTTTGCACCCTTGAAGGGCACTATGGGAAGAGAATGCCACACCAAGGGCCAGATTTACTAAACAGGGCAAATTAGCGTTAGAGCTCAATTCCATAAAAACGTTGTTGGGAGGGGGAAATTCTGTGGGTGATTTACTAACAATGCACACATTAAAGAAGACAGACACAGCCAGATCATTTCCATAATGACCAGCACAATCTACCAAGAGCAAGAAACGCTTTTTTGTGTTAAATAATGGCACAAATACCAGTACGAGCCCTAGTTGCATAATTCATTTTAATACTCAGGCGCAAAAATAACTGTGTCCACACCTTTTCAGCGCTATTACTTCATGTCGCGTTTTTAGTAAATCCTGACAGTACTATTTTAACACCAAAAGACGGTTTAGTTAGCTGTTATTAAATCTGACCCTTTATGTACTGTATATAACTAAAAAAAAAAAGGCAAAAGGTAGATTAATACTTTTTTATTCAGCAAGGATGCATTAAACTAAACAAAAGTGACAATGGATGTATATATAATGTTACAGAATTATTTCAAATAAATGCTATTTTTTAAAACTTTCTATCTGTCTAAGAATCCTGAAAAATGTATTATGTTTTTTTTTCACAAAGAAATGTTAAGCAGCACAACTGTTTTTTCAATTTTTAATAATAATTGTTTCTTGTGCATCAAATCAGCATACTTGAATGATTTCTGAAGGATCATGTGACACTGAAGACTGGAGTAATGCCTGCTGAAAATTCAGCTTTGCCAGAAATAAAATGACATTTTTAAAATATAAATATAATATATATATATATATAATATTTCAAAATATTACTGTTTTTACTGTACTTTTGATCTTTTTCAAAAACAACCCCCAAAATTTGAATATTTACAAAATACCATATAAAACACTCTACATTACAAGCATTGAAGCCTTACAATAAAGTTTGATTAACTGTTTGTTTTTAAATGAAAAATATCCATTCTGTTTATAGACTCCCAGCACCTGATCAGGACACGAAGTTAGTCTCTTATCCAATAAACATTGGCCTTTATGCCATTAAAATCAGTGCCACAGGTATCTTCTTTAGACATAGCTGTACTTCAGTGGAACTTTTATACCCATCTATCCTTTAAATCCTATGCACATATTCAAGTAGATCAAAAGAGATTACAAACAGCATAATACTGCTGTGTGGTATTATGTACACTTTCCTTCACTAAACTACTGAAATGCACCAACAGTGTATAGATCATTTACACATGGCTGTATTCAAAAAACAAAACAAAACAAAAATTAAGGGGGCCTGTGATTCCAGTGCAGTCTCTACAGAACAAAATGAGAAGAATTTGTTTTGAGTGCAGGTTTCATCTTTTAAATAAAATGAGAGGCTGAGGCAAGGTGTTTGATTAGAGGTGGGCTACACGTCTGCTCTTCATTGGCTTCATTGGAAAAGGTTTGTGTATTTTCTGTTGTGTTTGTCTTTCTTCCTCGCTCTGTTTCTATACCTCACAACTTTTGAATCAAGTTTACTTAAGCTCCTTGTAATTGGCCGTTCAGCCCTCTCGAAGGCAAATTTCAGTCCCTGCTGAGCTTGTTTTCTGTTGACTATTGAAAGCGCTCTCATTCTTGTTTGCCACCCTGTCTTCTCGCGGCGCTCAGAGAGTTTGTTCAGTGAAAAGCAAAATCAAACAAATTGCCAAGTCAGAGGCATCTCCCTTCAAACCCCTCTTCTGATTTAGTTTTTTCTTCCAGGATTTGTTTTGTTTGGTTCTCCGTAGCCTCTTGGCCTTAGTCTTGAGTTTCGTTGTGTGTCAGGCTTTTCTTCAGAGCTCATGGGTTTCTCTGTTCTCTGAGCAATGCTGGCCTGCTGTTTGACTACCTTCAAGTCTGTTTGAACAGTGTCCTCTGTAAACCGCCTACAGGACAAGGTAATAGCCTTTCCTTTGTGTTTTCCACATGCCGTAGGCCATAAATCAGGCAACATTTTTGAACTACTCGTCAGATTTACATTGGGGAACTAGCTACTAGTGATTCTTTCCTTGCTAATAATTAGCATGCACTATATATCAGTAGCATATTGAACATTTAATTGTGCATGCTCATTTCCTCTACAGTATTTTTACATTACATTTGCTGTCATCTAATGCTCACTTAAAGTTCATCTTTAAAACACCAATAATTTAACTCTTGTGCTATCCTGAAAACCCTTTGCCTAATTAAAAAAATTGCTTGTGAATCCCTCATTATGCTGTATTATTAGCCAATCTTGGATTCCATCTTTTTGTCAGCTTATGCACTTCTGTTTTTGAGTGAAAAAATCTTTATTTGTGGGTAGTTTTGGACATTTTTCACTCAAAAACTAAGGTGCACAAGCTGAGATTAATGAGGCCTACAATCCGTTAATTCCCCAAAAATATACAAAACTTATGATAATTAAAAAAAAACAATTTAGTAATAATATGCCATAATGAGGAAATTTTATATATATTATTGTATATATATATTCATTTTATATATACTGTGTATATACAGTGGCTACGGAAAGTATTCAGACCCCCTTACATTTTTCACTCTTTGTTATATTGCAGCTATTTGCTAAAATCATTTAAGTTATTTTTTTTTCCTCATTAATGTACACACAGCACCCCATATTGACAGAAAAACACAGAATTGTTGACATTTTTGCAGATTTATTAAAAAAAAAAGACTGAAATATCCCATGGTCCTAAGTATTCAGACCCTTTGCTGTGACACTCATATATTTAACTCAGGTGCTGTCCATTTCTTCTGATCATCCTTGAGATGGTTCTACACCTTCATTTGAGTCCAGCTGTGTTTGATTATACTGATTGGACTTGATTAGGAAAGCCACACACCTGTCTATATAAGACATTACCGCTCACAGTGCATGTCAGAGCAAATGAGAATCATGAGGTCAAAAGAACTGCCTGAAGAGCTCAGAGACAGAAATGTGGCAAGGCACAGATCTGGCCAAGGTTACAAAAAAAAAATTCTGCTGCACTTAAGGTTCATAAGAGCACAGTTCTTTCCCTCGATTGCAACCAGTTGTCCTGTCCCTGCAGCTGAAAAACACCCCCACAGCATGATGCTGCCACCACCATGCTTCACTGTTGGGACTGTATTGGACAGGTGATGAGCAGTGCCTGGTTTTCTCCATACATACCGCTTAGAATTAAGGCCAAAAAGTTCTATCTTGGCCTCATCCGACCAGATAATCTTATTTCTCACCATCTTGGAGTCCTTCAGGTGTTTTTTCATGTGTCTTGCACTGAGGAGAGGCTTCCGTCGGGCCACTCTGCCATAAAGCCCCGACTGGTGGAGGGCTGCAGTGATGGTTGACTTTCTACAACTTTCTCCCATCTCCCGACTGCATCTCTGGCGCTCAGCCACAGTGATCTTTGGGTTCTTCTTTACCTCTCTCACCAAGGCTCTTCTCCCCCGATAGCTCAGTTTGGCTGGACGGCCAGCTCTAGGAAGGGTTCTGGTCGTCCCAAACGTCTTCCATTTAAGGAATGGAGGCCACTGTGCTCTTGGGGACCTTAAGTGCAGCAGAAATTTTTTTGTAGCCTTGGCCAGATCTGTGCCTTGCCACAATTCTGTCTCTGAGCTCTTCAGGCAGTTCTTTTGACCTCATGATTCTCATTTGCTCTGACATGCACTGTGCGCTGTAAGGTCTTATATAGACAGGTGTGTGGTTTTCCTAATCAAGTCCAATCAGTATAATCAAACACAGCTGGACTCAAATGAAGGTGTAGAACCATCTCAAGGCTGATCAGAAGAAATGGACAGCCCCTGAGTTAAATATATGAGTGTCACAGCAAAGGGTCTGAATACTTAGGACCATGTGATATTTCAGTTTTTCTTTTTTAATAAATCTGCAAAAATGTCAACAATTCTGTGTTTTTCTGTCAATATGGGGTGCTGTGTGTACATTAATGAGGAAAAAAAATTAACTTAAATGATTTTAGCAAATGGCTGCAATATAACAAAGAGTGAAAAATGTATGGGGGTCTGAATACTTTCCGTACCCACTGTATATTTCCTACTGACACACTACAGCAAAAATAGAAATAACTGATTTAAAACCTTTTTTAGCTGGTGAAAATACTAGTGTTCTAATAATTTTGGCCACCACTGTATTTTTGTCCATAGTACAAACTGTAAAGTGCCACACTATTATGTAAACTAAAGACTTTTGGATATCTACACATGAGATATCGTATCTGCCAGTCCATTGAGGCTTGTCTACTCACTAAACCAGCATTAAGCAGCATAAACTAGCTCAG